CATACCCAAATCCCCTCATCAACTGCCTGCTGGTCTCCTACAACCATTACCCATTCCACAACGCCCCTGGTCCCGCATAGCCATCGACTTCATAACAGATCTACCTGCCTCACAGGGTCACACTACCATTCTCTCTGTTATCGATTGTTTTTCCAAGGCCTGCCGCCTGATTCCTCTACCCAAACTACCCACTGCTCTTGAGACAGCCGAGGTGCTCTGCAACTATGTATTCAGGTTTTACGGCCTTCCTGAAGACGTGGTCTCTGATCGGGGTCCCCAGTTCACCTCCCGAGTCTGGTCCGCTTTCTGCCGACAGCTCAACATCAATGTCAGTCTCACCTCCGGGTATCACCCACAGTCGAATGGTCAGGTGGAACGTCTCAATCAAGAACTCACTCGTTTCCTCCGATCATACTGCCATCGCAATCAGACCGACTGGAGCCGCTACTTACTATGGGCCGAGTATGCACAGAATTCACTCCGCAAACCTGCGACAGGTATCACCCCATTCCAATGTGTCCTGGGTTTCCAACCCCCATTATTCCCATGGTCCGGGGAACCATCAGAACTTCCGGCCGTTAATTCATGGCTGCAACGAAGCGAGGAGACATGGAATGAGGCTCATGTTCATCTCCAAAGAGCAGTTCATCGAACAAGGGAGCAAGCTAATCGCCATCGGCGCACCAATCCCAACTATCAGCCGGGTCAGTGGGTCTGGTTGTCCACTCGGGATCTTCGTCTCCGGTTACCCTGCAAGAAACTCAGTCCTAGGTACGTGGGTCCCTTCAAAATTATTAGACAAATAACTCCTGTTTCATTCCGTTTGGCTTTACCTGCACATTATCGTATCTCACCCACTTTTCATGTCTCTTTGCTCAAGCCCGCTGGTGGTCCGAGAGGAGCGGAGGACCAGGAGGAGGCTGGTGACCAGAGAGTCCCTCCCATCACCATAGACGGCGAAGAGGCTTACCGAGTTCGGGAAATCCTGGACTTTCGTCGCCGGGGCGATTTCCCGATTACGACCGCTTGCTGCCTACCTATTCTGAACCTGCCTGCCTTGTTGATTCTTGCCATTGTTTGTCTGCCACCTGCCTCGACCCTTATAACGAACTCTGTTTACGATTCTGCCCAGCCTTCGTTGTGTCTGACACCTGTTGACGATTTATGCCTGTATGACCTGCCTTGTGATCTAATAAAGCTGCACATGGATCCTAACGCCACTGCCTCTGTGTTACACCTATAGCAGCTCTGACAGCCTGGTGGAAATTTCATTTGAGTTTGTAAGACTTTAGGCTTTTGAAGATCTCTGGCAGTCACAAAGTTTCAACGAAGTGTTTGAGTTCTGGAGTCTCGCTCGCGTGATGTTACATCATGTGAGCGCTTTGTAGCACGGTCACCAAGGCGAAAAGCCAAAGATCTAGAGAGAGAGAGAGCAAGCGAGCCAGCGACGAGGGCTTTGTGTCTAGTTTTAAGCAGGCTGATTTTGGTCCACCCCACGACGCGATCTTCCAATCGACTTGTTGCAAGGCGGAGCGTGCATACATTAACATGATGCTTCAATTCATCATGTGGGGAAATATCTTTGCGAAGATTTGGTTGATACTTATAAAAAGGGTTGTAATTTATGCGTATGATACCGAAAATCAACCCTTCATTCACACTAAGTTATTGCTAATGACACAAGCTTCCATTTAACATCAAACATCAGGTATTTTGCATACTCATTAATAATCTTATCTACTAAAAGTGGTTATAAAACATTGGTTAAACTTGCACCGATTACAATAAACACATCAAGCATAGAAAGGCACAAAACATATTATTTGTGAATATAGTTGCCCTTTTATACTTTTAATGATTTTAAATGATTGTCTTTTAAACTTGGTCCATGCAACGTCTGCGTTTCTTTGTTAAGAAGAAAAGAACGCGGGTCAGTTGGGTTTTAGAAAGGGCAGGAAGCAGGTGGTCAAGATTAATGTGATAGTCACGTATAGATCCAGTGTTTGCAGGCCTGAGGGCGTCAGTTAATTTACTCGTCCTTTTCCTGTTGGATATAATAGCTCCATACATTGTGCGATCACAAGGTATCTCTCAACTATATGATGGTTGAGGGGTGGGGGGTGAGATATTTAGATTCTCCTGGAATATGTCTGTGCAATAGTTCACGTGGTGAATCCATAGTTTACTTGTCTCTGTTCTCGGACAGAGATCCTACAATTATATCATTTTACTTACTTATCGGTTTCATATTATGTTCAATTGTTTCATATTATGTACAATATGTTTAATAAGCAGGATTGTAAGAATAGTAATACCATTAAAACCTTACTGATACCTATTCTTACTTGTAAGTCAGTAGGAGAGAGAGGTCCATCTCATTAGTTTTCACTTTTACTTAGCTCATTTTTGTATTTGCTCTGAGTAATTATTGATTAAATGTTCACTTTTTTATGAATACATTATCTTTACTTGTAATATTTTATCAACAACTTTTATTGTCTGCTGATTGTATTTGAATCAGGAAAAAGTAATTTTATAATTTCAGTTTTAATATCTAAGTGCAATGAAGGATTTTTTTGTTAGTAGTGTTTTACCAAACACAACAACATCCCATAAACCTTGAGTTTCCATTAACATTCCCTCTTATCTCTTATTCATTCAGACAAAACAGTTAATGAACCCTTACAATCATCATATTAAACAATGAAAATACATAAGCAAGGAAAATAATAAGAAAAATATAAAAAAATGAATGAATAAATTATCAAATAATAAAATTATTGAAATGGTAAATGATAATGTATTGTTTGATAAAAAATCTAAAAATAAATTACATAAATGGCTCATGATTATAAACGAGTAAATTATTATGAATGAATGAAAACAAGAAAATAAAAACAACACAAATGTGTGGTCGCTCTCTTGATGCAACACACAGTTTGTATTTGAGGATCCTCAGATCCTTCATGTTGTTGAAGTGTGATTCATAAATCACGTTTTCAGGGGAGCCCATGTCTTATTAAGGGGAGCCGAGCTCCCCCATAGTTCGCACCCTGCCGACGGCTATCCGGCCAAGTTTTACAAGAGGTTTTCTGCCAAGCTAGCACCTCTGTTGTGTAAGGTATTTGAGGAGGCCCGTGTTTCAAACTCTCTCCCCCTATCCATTGGCGCTTTTCCACTGCGTGGTACGACTCGGTACGGCACGGCACGGTTCGGCACGGTTTGCGTTTCTACTGCAGTTCAGTACCGCTTTAGAGTGGGCGGGATTATTCACGTCATTATAGTTGCGCCGCCTCTACTGCCGCGACTCCTAAAAAACTTTTTCATTCCGAGTCGCCCCATCAAGCTCTCACTGGATCCGCTCCTCTGCTATCAACGAGAGCAACGTCTGTACTTCCTCAACAGGG